ACCTACACAGTAGTGTGCAAATATCTCATAACGTACTTTATAGCACAAAAAGGACAGTAAAGAGAAGCCAAACATTTTATTTAAATCTCAGGGGGAGCTTAGTTAATGAAAGCACGATATAGTAAAACAAATCATAGCACTCACTCGGAAATCTATGTAACTGAGAAGCTGTCCCTGCCTTCTAAATAATTGGTTGTGTTGTTCTCCTGTTACCTAGCATTTTTCAATAAACATAATCAAAACGCTAGATTATTTTTAAAAAATTGGGTAAGAGTAATTGTAAACATAAATCAGATGAAGGAGCGCCACTCCAAAGGGCACAAAAGATCTAACGTGTTTGGTTTGGGGAAGCTTTTATAGGTTTTCATTTTTACTGTGCTTATTATAGTTTCAATCAGCTTTTATTATTCAGGAGGTTATTAGGAAGTATAAATAGGCTTGGCAATAAACTAAGTAGGATGGTTTTAAGACTGAAATAAACAAGGCTAGAATGTAATTCGAGAAAAATGACGCATCTAATTTTTTTCTTCCATGTGCTCAAGCCCTGTTGGATAGGACCAAGGTTCCATCAAGTCTAACATTCTGTTTTCATATCCTATGCTTCCAGGTACAAACAAGGTAGTATAGCAGCAACTTTTGTTGCCCTCTGCTAAGTGGCATGATGTTATGGACTGGCTGGATGCAGAGGAATAGAGGGAGGTGTCAGCTGGAGAACCCCCAAAGGGTAAAGGCTCAGAGCTCAGGGATTGGTGGTGGGATGATGTTGAGTGGTCAAAGGGAGAAGAGGGAGAAGATTGGGAGGAAGGGGTGTCCGAAGCTGAAGAGGTAACAGGGTTTAGTGAACAGGGAGAGTCTGTAGCAGAGAGAAGTCCAAAATCTGAAGCAGGAGAAGAGGGAGGCTAAGAGGCAGAGATGTGTCAGGTTGTGAAGAAGCCAGGATGTCTCCCCCTCCTGGTGTGACAAGCTCCTCTGCCCCTGGTCTGCCAGGACCTGAAGAGGTATGAAGAGGGAGGAGCATAGACAGGCACATTGGCATAGCCTCAGATTGCTTGGGAAGGACCTAGGAGAGGAGGAGATTTAGGTAGCTGTGGGAAGGGTGGGACCTTTAGTTGCCTCCTAGGAGTAAGACCTATCGAGAAGAGCTGCTGAGCAGGCCTTGTTTCTTCAAAAAAACAAAACAAAAAACTTTACATATGCTGTGTGATTTATTGCTGGCTGGCTCCCGGACACATACTGACTCCCTGCTTGTAATCCTGATTATTATCACCCCGACCCAGCAGATGTTATTTTCATTTAATACAACACCCCCTAAACACTTGCATATTAACTGACAACCTCAGTCAAATCCAGGACAGGAGAGCAGATCTAGGACACACAACAGACAATGAGGGTAGAGGAGCCAGTCTTGTGGACTAGCCTGCTAGCAGCCACTTTAAAGAGCTTCCTGTTGCAGATATGAGGAGCTTATACTGCCCAAAGAAAGCCACATGGCATTCAAGGAACTGCAGGAATGCAGAGTGAAAACTGACACTTCAATAGAATTAGTCCCAGCTAATGACAGAAACAGGGACACGGGTGGCACTAGGACTTGTGTTCGAATCCCCGCAAGGGGGTGAGCTCCCGTTGTTCGGTCCCTGCTCCTGCCAACCTAGCAGTTCAAAAGCATGTCAAAGTGCAAGTAGATAAATAGGTACCGCTCCAGCAGGAAGGTAAACGGCGTTTCCATGTACTGCTCTGGTTCGCCAGAAGTGGCTTAGTCATTCTGGCCCCATGACCCGGAAGCTGTACGCCGGCTCCCTCGGCCAATAAAGCGAGATGAGCGCCGCAACCCCAGAATCGGTCATGACTGGACCTAATGGTCAGGGTTCCCTTCCTTAATGACAGAAATATGTATATATGGAAATACATGTGGTGGCACTGAAGCCTGCCTACACGAGTAGCTGATATCATTTTATGTCTCAGGCTTATCAATTCCAAGCTATCGAGCTCGCTGTACTCTGATAATAATGCATATCCCCGACTGAGCAGGTGAAGCAAATTAGGAAGAAAGGGAGGGCAGACATGGAAGGCTTACATAACATGGTATTGTAGGATTCAGGCTCCTGCAGCTGGCTGGGTGGCTTTGATATCATCTGCATGTGCTGCTGTTATAATAATAATCATGGGAATGAATCACGGAAGTATTTGCAGTTTCTGTGCATAATTTCCCTTCTCTTCACCCCCCCTCCCCACCAAATGCTTTAATTTGGGTCAAAGCTTCCCATGATGGAGACGTCTCATTAGCCTATAATAGTTCTCCCCCTCACTCTCCTGCTCTTCATCTCATAACTATTATACCATTGAGGAAGGAGGAGGCAGGTTCCATCACAGCTCAAATCTCTTCAGAAATGCTACATAAGTAAATCCTATCTCTTCTATGTCCCATAACCATCCATTTATTTACATATTGTAGAGTGGATTAGACAGGAGAGAGTTAATGGAGTTGGACAGCGCCTTGGTATAGCTAAGTTGCCAAGCACCTTCCTTTGTTGAGGAAGCTTGTCTGATGGCAGTCTCAGTTGCTGGCCTTTTAAATGGCTAGGACCGGGGTAGTCAACACAATGCGCTCTAGATGTTTTGGACTACAACTTTCATGGTCTCTGACCATTAGCTGTTTTGGCCTGGGATTGATGGGAGTTGTGACCCTAACTACCTTGGCAACCACAAACAGTGACCCACAGTGTGGTGCAGTGACGTTAGGTCACTACACACAGTCTGTGTACAAATTACTGGCTTACAGCTAGGTTATTCATTTTCTCAGGTTGCATCAAAATGCAGTATTTCATAAGAAATGACAGACTAGATCTGAATTGTGGCCAACGTCTTGTGTGAACTGCTTCCCAAACCAATGGTGGGATTGCACAGGATGCCGAGTAAATGAGATTGTGCACACAGCTTATGATGGCTGGGAATGCATGATCAAAGATGTGAGATCCCAAGAGAACATCTAGTTTTGTACCAACTGAGTGGCTACAGGCAGGGTGCCAATGACAGTAAAGCACAACAGTTCCTGTTTGCCAAAGTATGTGACGAACATTTCCCCCTTACGTCTAGACTGAGAATGTTTTCTGCTGACACTCTGAGTTAGAAAATGAGGTGGCTATTACTAGAAGGTTGGATTGAAGTCAGTGGTGCATTCAAGTACTTTTAAAGCCATGTGCTCAATTGGAATCTCAGCGATAATAAGAATATGAAAATTGGCTCGTAAAACATGTCTAAAGAAATGAGAGCAGACAATAATGAGATACTTAAAAATGTAAATGAAACGCTTTAGATTTCACAGGGTTTGCTACCCCCACCCCCAGAAGAATAATGAAACTGAACTTTGGTAATCAATGAAAGTTCTCCATAAACTTATTTTATTTTATAAAATAACCGCTATGCCCTACAGTAAATGATTTGTCCCATTGGGGTATAACCCTTAATGATTTCAGCTAGAGAAATAGGCAAAATAATTATTAAAGCCGCTTAATGTTTTATTGCTGGCTGATCCTTCCACATTGCTACTGGTCTTTCCCCTGTCTTATATGCTAGAGGAGGCTTCTCACACAGATAGGTCTGATTCAGTATAAGGCAGTTTCCTATGTTGCTAGAGTGTGAGAGTTCAACTGATCTGGATGTTTAAATAATGGCAGCTTCAAGTGAGTCATAGAAAACTGTAGTGAGATGCATTTTGATATGAAACCAAGTGTATTTTGACATACGGACACTTCCAACACGCAACCTCTTCCCTCCTGCTGACAACCACCCAAGGAACCATGACAGCTTCTTGTGTCCAACAGATCTGCATTGGACAAGTGCTTTTAAACATGTTCATAAAGAATTTGGAGTTAAGGGTGATGAGGTGTAATCTTTACTGAAGACACCAACTTATTATGTGTTGGAAATGGTGGAGTCAGACTCAGTGGTAGCCAGATTTTGTCTCCATCCTCCTGCATTCTTCAAGGACAAAACTGAGACAAAGAAGAGGGGAGATGCACACCTGGGGCACAGCTACTCCATTCAGGACCAGGGAGTCTCCCACACCTGCCCTCTCCCTGTCTCCCAGAAACGGTACTTCTGTTTTGTCAGGATTCAACCTCAATCACTTAGCTGGCAACCATCCTCCAACCACCTCCAGACACTCACATGGACAAGAGGAAGCGCGTCTTCACACAATGCAAAGTGATGACTTGAAATTGGTTCTAATAGGGCTATTCATCATCATCATCAACTTTATTGCACTAGCCAAAGGCCATGGCATCATGCACCAAGGGAACAAAAAGAAAAGCAACAACAACCATAAAAACCATAAAAACATCAGGCACTGCAGATACAATAAACCACAATCACGTTTCCTCAAAATTATTTGTTGCATACGATGGAATAGCAAGGGCTTCTCAGGTAGAATGTGCCAGCTTAAATGTCCGAATCACCTTTGCAATTGACCGCTATTTTATCTAGTTCTTTTCTCCTGATCTTCTTAGCTGCCAACGCATATAGTGCTACTTTATAAGTTACGAAGTCATCAGTATCACTCAGCAGCCATTTCACCCTTTCCACCCTGTTTGAATGTGTTCCATTCATGAGCAGGGGTTTTATAAATTGGTCTCTTGGTTCTATATATAGCGGGCATTGCAATAAATAGTGGTACAGGCCCTCTACGCAAGGTTGCCCACACAGACAAAGTCTCTCCTTGTACTGTACTTTGCCGTACCGACCATCCACCACCACCAAGGGAATCAATTGGAATCGTAATTCTGTAAAAGTGATTCTTAGTACGGCAAGTGGGAGCTTTGTCAAATAACTAGCTCGGATGTGCTCTGTTTTGATAAGTGGGAACCCTGGTGAACTTTTGGTAGAGGCAATTGTGGTTAAATCCCTTTCTGCATCAGACCTGAACAGAAAATCTCTTAAGTGCCTCTTATCCCTCTTCATGATCACCTGAAGATCTTGTAATTGATATTGGGTCAAGAGGCGTTGGATGCAAGGGCGATCTGGCTGCGACATCTGTGACCCCATTTATCACCAGGGTTGATTCAGCTGATCTGGCTGGCTAGGCGGGTGTCCCCTTCCTCCCTCACTGCTCCATGTGCGTCCCTCCCGAAGCTGTGCACTCGGTGGAAGAGGACAACCATCCTTGATAGAAGGAGTGTACCATTCGTCGGTCAAGGGTTCTAATAGAAGACTAGACAGATTCATGGAGGAGGAGAAAGCTATCAGTGGCTACTGGACATGCTAAATGTATACTACATTTGAAGTCTTTCTGTATGTAATTAGTTGGGCACTGTGAGGAACAGGGTGCTAGGCTGGATAGTCTTATGTTGACATGATATTAAATGCACACCCTCCAACATTTTGAAGCAAAAATTTGGGACGACATCTTATCATACGGGTATCGAAGGTGCAACCTTGGCATTATCAGCGGCACACTCTAACCAACTGAGCTATCCAGGTAACAAGAAAAGACTCCAAAGAACTCATCAGAGACATGAACAAGGCAAGCATCAAGGGGGAATTTGATTAAGGGTTTGCATCTTTGGTGTCTGTTTCCTCAAAGCTATCTTCGTATCTTGCGTAAGTGAGGGAGAACAAAAGAGCACTTCTACGACTTTAAAATATAATTTGACAAATGGCTGCCTCCTATTTTCCAATTTGAAAGAGGCTCATGAGTTGTGGAACAGGCACAAGTCTGACTACGTTGGATAAAAATAGATTGAAATCTCTACTGCAAACAGAAAGGATAGCCAAATGGTAGTTTTTATAGATATCTCATTGGCACACACTATAAATTTTTATCCGTTTGATGTCTAAATTGTTTCAAATAACGGCAAACAAAATGAATCTTCTAAAAAAGCAAACAAAAATTTGGCAGAAACCCATCAGCTTGCCAGAATCTCTAGTTGAAGATGACTTACTCCCCCTTTACAAAATGGTGCTTTTCCATCAGTATCAAGTCCGGAGTCAATACATCTTCATCCCAATTGACTACAAAAGTCAATAGTGCTTTTTAAAGGTTTTTGCGGTTGTTGGTGATACAATTCACAGCAGCAAATAATGGGGCCAGAGAAGCTTGCAGTCAAAATACAAGAGTAAAGGCCAAGCTTGACTTTCCTTCCATAAAGGTCATATAATATATAACTACTTTAATAAATGGACAGAGCAATCCAAAAGGAAAGGGGTGGGAAGGTAAACAGATGAGCCGCCTTTCTCAGTGCCCCTCCTGAGTCATACTTTCGCCCTTTCTTGTATAAATAATATCATATCATAAACAGTTTCTAATATTGTATAATATTGCATTTTAATATTAATGCTGTGTTTAGTTGGTATGTTTGTTTATTACATTTCTATTCCAGCTTTCCTCCAAGGAGCTCACATAGTTCTTTCCCTTCCCCCCACTTTGATCCTTGCAATACCCCAGGTTAGGCTGAGAGACTGTAACTGGCACAAGGACATGCTATGAGCTTAAAGGCCAAGTGGGAGCAGAACCCTGGTTGCCCAAGTCCTAGTCTGACACTCTGACCACTACACCACAACCCACCTGGGGACCTCATGTGATGGTGGTGGTGATGAATGTCTGTCTCTCTATCTTCTATCTATCAGCAGTCAAGAGCTGACATATGTTTTCTCCATTTGAGGTACCTGTCTGAAGATTAGAATAGCTATGGATCCTTCAGATCCATGCCTTTCACTGGATCACCCCCACTTTGCCTCTATAATGTTGGTGCTCAGAAGCTCAGAAGCTTCAGAAGTTGGAACAATGGTGGACAAAAGACCTCAAAAAGTTAGATTCCCCTGTCCTAGAGAAGATTTCAGTCTTTCTCCACCTGCATGGAGGGAGATCCAAAGCAGCTTATGACCCCAGGGATGTCCTGAAGTGGCTTTCGTGAGATATCTCTTAGCATCGGAATGTAATCTGAGTGGAACCCACACACATCCATACCTTCCCTGATCTTTGAAAGACATATTTCTGAAAAGTGTAAACTAATTTCTGACTACAGCATATAATGATCAACTGGCTGGACATTTGTTATATATGCACAGTGTTGGGTGCTGGTCTTCAGAGACAGCAGACTACCAATCACAACTCTCACATTTGTACGAGTTAATTGAACTATTAAATTCCTTAGTGGACTTGAAGGTTAAACTTACGACCGCATTAGAGCACAGCATCATATTGCACAGAGAGGTATGAAAACTAAGATCTATGTTTTTTAACTGCAGATAATTTGTGTTACATAATAAAAGGCTATGGCTTGTAAAAGGAAAACTCATCTTCTTTATTTTATTGCGTGCTTAAATATCCTATCTTTTCCCCAAGGTGATGTACATAGTTCTCCCCATCCCCATTTCCTCCTCAAGGAACCAATCCTATGAAGTAGGTTATTCTGAGAGGTGGTGGTTGGCCCAAGGATATGCAATGTGCTTCGTAGCCAAGTCCAATACACTAACCACTACAAGTGTGCTCTATCCATTGTGACAACATTCAATCCTACCCTCTGCTTCCCATTCTTAAGGCAGTGACCAATTCATAAGAAGGCTATCATCCCATTATGGCTAAGTTTGCTCAGTAGCCCTTAGTGAGGGTCTAGATTTTTGGCAGTACATGGCGGCTAGTGGATTCCACAAATGCACACGTTCCCTAATACTTTCAAAGACTCCTTCAAGGTTTCCAAGAAAAGACTTTGCTAGCTGAAACCATACTGATTCTCCACAAGGGTTCTCCTTGGATGTGTTTTAATGCATCAATTTGTTGTTGTTGTTTAGTCATTTAGTCGTATCCGACTCTTCGTAACCACATGGACCAGAGCATGCCAGGCACTCCTGTCTTCCACTGCCTCCCGCAGTTTGGTCAAACTCATGCTGGTAGCTTCGAGAACACTGTCCAACCATCTCGTCCTCTGTCATCCCCTTCTCCTTGTGCCCTCCATCTTTCCCAACATCAGGGTCTTTTCCAGGGAGTCTTCTCTTCTCATGAGGTGGCCAAAGTATTGGAGCCTCATAAGGACAAATGTTAAGCTAATGGGTGTTCTATCCCAGCACTGGACTGGACTTCCTGCCTGGCCACATCAAATACATAATTGTATTTCTACCATGATCTCACATGAAGAGGAAACGAGTCAACAAATCTTAACAATAGTGCATGCTTTTGCATCACACAGACAGGGGGATGATGCCAACCCAGGTATTCTTGGAAGTGAGAATCGCAACTGGAATCTGCTCAAACTGAAAGTGGATAATACGTTTATAGTTTAATTGCATTGTAGTCCCTGTTTAACAAACACAAAACCAAATAAGCCCCCCCCCTTTTTTAAGCGAAGCTTTTGAAGAAGTCTGCATGCCATTCAAAGCAGCCAGCAAATTTGATGAGATGTACAGCAGAGACAATCTGAGTTAATTGCTATGGGTGCATAAAAGCTTAGCCATCTGTGCTATTTGATAACTATCAGATAAAATAGTTGGCTGATTATTCAAATTGTTTTCAAATAATTCATTGCAATTCTGCAAGCAACACCCAAAGAGATGCCATCATTATTACTATGCAAATTTTGAATGGCACATCACAGCCATAATTTTTGTTATACACTTATGAAGAGTCTCCTCCTATCAACTCAAAAGCAAAATAAATAAATAAATAAGCTCAACTGGGGGAAAAACAAAATAGAGTCCAAATGACTTCTGCTTGGTTTCCTGAAACAAGTTTGGTGAGGCATTTGTGGTGTTTTAAAATGCTACCTTGGGATTCCTGTCAAGGCACCTTCCCCACCTACAAGTGTTCAATTCACATGCAACTATGTATATATGCATGGCACTGGGAAATAATTAAACAACAACAAGAAGAATCTGCAGGGGATGGGGGTAGGTCAAGGTTTTGAAAATGGTATAGGTGCAATTTATTCAGAACAAAAGGCAAAATTAATTGTGAACAATGTGGTGACAGAAGAATTTAAGATTGAGAAAGAGACACGACAAGGTTGCCCAATTTCTCCATTGCTCTTTATATCGGTCCTTGAGGTTTTGTTAAATATGATTAGGAAGGACCAAGAGGTTAAAGGTATACAGGTGGGAGCTAAACAGTACAAACTGAAAGCATTTGCTGATGACTTAGTATTGACTTTACAGGAGCCAGAATCTAGTACTAAAAGGGTATTGGAACTGATTCAAGAATTTGGACAGGTAGCAGGTTTTAAGTTGAACAAGATGAAAACTAAGGTGTTAGAGAAAAACTTAACTGTGAATAAGAAAGAGAAGTTTCAGGAGGAGACAGGACTAACATTGGTTAAGAAAGTGAAATATTTAGGGATTAACATGACTGCTAAAAATGTGAATTTATTTAAGGATAATTATGAAAAATGTTGGATTGAAGTGAAAAAGGATTTAGAAATATGGACAAATTTGAAGTTATCATTGTTAGGCCGAATTGCTGTGATAAAAATGAATGTGCTGCCAAGGATGTTGTTTTTGTTTCAAACATTGCAAATTTTGGATAAGATGGACTGTTTCAAGAAGTGGCAGAAAGATATTTCTAGATTTGTTTGGCAGGGCAAGAAGCCTCGAATAAAATATAAGATACTAACTGATGCTAAAGAAAGAGGTGGATTTGCCCCGCCAGACCTTAAACTTTATTATGAATCAGCTGCTTTTTGCTGGCTGAGAGAATGGCTGCTTCTTGAAAATACTGACGTGTTGGATTTAGAAGGTTTTAATAACGTATTCGGTTGGCATGCATACTTGTGGTACGATAAAGTAAAAGTACATAAAGCGTTTAAAAATCATATTGTTAGAAAAGCATTGTTTAATGTTTGGATAAGATATAAGGATTTGTTAGAAAAGAAAACCCCAAGATGGTTGTCACCAATGGAAGCGAAGGCACAGAAAAAACTCAATATGGAGGCCAAATGGCCAAAATATTGGGAAATTCTGGAACAAGATGGAGACAGATTAAAATTGCAGAGCTTTGAAAAATTGAAAAACAGAGTACGAGATTGGCTCCATTATTACCAAATAATGGAGGCATACAATCTGGACAAAAAAGTTGGTTTCCAGGTGGAAAAATCAAAATTGGAAACAGAATTGCTAGATCCAAAAATTAAGAATTTGTCAAGAATGTATAACTTGTTGTTGAAATGGAACACCCAGAATGAAATGGTGAAATCAGCTATGATTAAATGGGCACAAGA